CCCAAAAAAAGATAACTAATTAAAAAAAAAAAAAGATGTGTATAAGAGACAGGTCGTACAGAGTGTACGACGGCCCGTACGACCCGTACGTACATACGATAAAATTGGAACCAAGAGAAGATTACAATAGCTCATGATCTGTACGTACGTAAAGAGAGACAGGTTTTTTTTTTTGTTCTTCTTATTGAATTAGATTAGTTTTCATTGGGTTAAGATAGGACTGGTTCACCAGTTAGTGCAGTGCTATGTCTGCGCTCATTTGGATTCCATTCATTCTCATTGATTACCACGGGGTAAGAGATAAGGGACGTTGGACCCGGTTTCCAGATTAGCCTACTCTTAGACTGGCCCTCTGGGTAATGGCCCCAGCTTTTTCCGGGTGGACTGTGAGGACCCTGGCCTCATGATTTATCTCATAAAATTCATGAAATGGGCATTGAGCCCAGTATTTAAAAAAAAAAGAAAAAAAAAAAAGGGGCCATTTCTCGATTTCTGCATGTGGCTATGGTAACCTTCTCTTTCTCTCTCTATCGTTCCAATTTTAACGGATCATGTCCCAAAGGGCGGGGTGGGCTGGAGAGATTAAAACTTGGAAAAAGAAAAAAAAAAAAAAAAAGAGTGTGGGAGTAAGCTGTTAGGGCCTCGCCACACGACTGTAGAAAATGCGATTTTTGACAGTTGTCTCTTCGCCACACAGGCTGTCTAAATTGGAGTCGCCGCAAATTGTCAGAGTCTCAGAGTGCTTCTCGAAACCTCCCTCCTCTCGAAAGTTGTTGAATCCACACCCAGCCTGTTTCTGCTACTCCAATGCTTTCGAGTCCTCGGCTGCGCCCTCGGACTTCTCTTCGAGTTTGGTGAGCGGGAATAAGGTCGGGATGGACTAATGCTTGTCGTACCTTCAGGCGCGTTCGTCTTTTTCCATCTGGCTTGCACGAGTGCGTGCACTCTACATTGCTGTGTGGCTAAGGGCCTCGCTACACCAATGTCGAAACATGACGAAATTCGACATATGTCAGGAGATTTTTGGCATTCCCTCTTTCGACAGAAAACCCCTCTTCGCCACACAGCATGTAGAAGTGAAGAACTCACAAGTCCTGTGCACACAAGAGACAAACTGGGGTGAAGATAGGACAAGAACTCACAAGTCCTGTGCACAAAAGAGATAAACTGGGGTGAAGATAGGACAAGCGCTGGTGCGTTCCCTTTTTCGACATTCGGGCAAGAATTCGACATCCCATCCGAGGACTGTTGAAAATGTCCAAGTTGCAGGCCCGAAGTGGAAAAGAGCCCGTCTCGAGAGGAGGTGTAGAAACCCTTTCCCTGACAGCTCCTGAATTTTTTTTGCATCTCGGATTTCGACATGCTGTGTGGCAAGGAGAAAATGTTGAAAATTCAGTTTTCTACATTGGTGTGGCGAGGCCCTAAGGGCCTAGTTGCACTACTCACCATCCGTCACATTTTGTGGCGGATGCGTGGAGTCTCAGAATGAAAAAAAAAAAAAAAGAGAATCCTGTCAAACTCAAGGCCTTGTTGCACTTACTCACCACTAGATTTCTTCTCCAGAAAAGTTAAAAACTTTTGTCTACCTGATGTAGACTCGTGAAGCCCTCACTCTCCAGAAAGTTGTTTTGTGGAGAGATCGGAGGACCACCCTCCACACACCGCCGTGCACAGGTGGGGAGACCGAATTCACTCTCCACAACTTGTGTCCACGGTGTGGCGAGGAGGCTGACACATTTTGCATTGGCCAAGTTTGGCGAGTAAGAGGCTCGCCACACAGGCTGTCTAAAACCCTGTTTTCGACAATTTTGCATCGCCACACAGACTTTCGAAGAAGAAATTGCGGCTCAAAAAACTTTCGACAGATGTCAGAATGGTTCTTCCGACAGCCGCCCTCCAGCAACGGTTTCCTCCACTGCAGCCTGCAGGTGACGGAAATTCGACAGTGGCCCCGCCTACCTCGGTCAACTTCCCTGAAACCCGTCCGCCTGGCCATGACCAAAAACCTTGCCCCTCTACAGCCTGTGTGGCCAAGGGGGGGCAAACTGTCCACCAGGGACTTTCGATTTTTTTCTGACACCTGTCGAAACTCTTAGAGTTTCAACAGCCTGTGTGGAGAGCCTCTAAGTGCAACCAGGTTTTAAAAAAAAAAAAAAAAAAAAAAAAAAAAAAAAAAAAAAA